ACTGCAGTTTGGATTCTTAGGATTCCATCTTCCTATATGTATCTTTTGCTATTAACTTTTATCATACAGTGAGATCCCWTCATTAGTAGGAAAAGTGAAGTCATTAATGCTGTGGTTTGTTATTTTGGTTGAGCAGATATGTTATCTGAGAGAGACTGATATGCTGCTGTCTCAGGTCTCGATTGAGATGGATGTAGCCACTCAATTTCAGTATGTGGCAGAATTTTTTTTGAATGGTCAGTGTGGACTGGGTCTTCATGTACAGAMGATCCCTCTCTTATTTTTGCAGTACATCATTGTGCCTGCCACTGTCATATTTCTGATAACATTCTGTGCCTCCTTATCAGTGGTCCTGATATGCAGCAGGGTAATTAAATCTGAAATTAATTGTGCCCATCTAGGATAGAAAGATTTACAGATTTCCATAGTTCTGRCACATGAGCACGTACTCCATGCAGCATCTTGAAAAATTTGTTACTAGCCTGCAGTAAGGAAAGCTCCTTGGGGGTATAAAATATCTAGCTGCCTCTAAGAAATTGGGTGTGCCTGATATTAAAAGATTAATTTAATTTTTTTGTGGGATTTATAACCAAATGTCATCTGAGAAAATACATTTTAGATCTGTTTTCAATCCTTGCTTTACCTTTAAAGTTAGTTGGGGTGTGACTATTGCATGATCTTTAAAATAAGGAAATGTATGTTAAATGCTGATTCACTTGTAATAGTTTGTCAGGAAGAAAGATTGAGAAGTTATTACAGGAATCTTAAAAGTGTATTTTGAGTGAGTTGTTGAAAAGCAGTCAAAAATGTGCAAGTGTAGACAAATTTATTGTTTTACTGACTGATGACCAGCCTTACTATGGAAGCAGCTGGACAAGCTAGAGCACCTTATCTTCCGGACAAAGTGGAGCACAACAGRTCCGTGATAACAACAGAAAATGTGTTCAATAGCATCATTGCCACAGTAGGGATTTTTAAATGTTATTTAATAGAAAACCTACTCTTCATTCCTCTCTTCTGAAAACCAGATGTTGGTTGACTTCATGCTGTTGTGATTTATTCACTTTTCCTTAGATGTGGTTTTGACATCAGTATTTAGTCATAAGAAGTTTCTGTGAAGCTCAAATCATTTCATCTCCTCCTCTGATCTTTAAGCTTATTAAGAGTGTCTCTGGACACTGCTATGATGGCAAATTTTCCCAATTTGTGCTAATTCTTGTGCTGTGTGGTTTGGAAGAAATTTGGAGGGTTTTTTTTTCAATAATTTCAAAGTGCTACTGACTGTGGTTAGCAAGGCTTAACACTTTCTTAGTGTTAAATAGYAGGGATGACATGAGCCTGTACAGTGTAAGAAGCAAATCCATTTTTAGCATCCAGAGTAACATTTATATGAACTGGAAAAATAATTTGCATTTTTTCTTTGTCTCCTTTTTGAAATTTTCATGTAAATGAAACAATAAAGTAATTTTTAGACTTTCTAAGCCAACATTATTCTCACCGTTACAAGGTAAAAAACCTAATATATCACCACAGTTGTTCAAATTTCTTTTCTGTTTTCAGTCAGAATGAGTGATGCTTTAAGTAATGTGAAATGTGAACATAAGTATGCAAGTAAAGGCAAGAAAAATTAATTCATACGTTTGATAGTTTGCTATCAGCATTTACCTGGCATTCATTTGCTACTAGAACTGCTACAAGACTGGCAAGTGGAACTCCTGCAAGAGACAGCAAGTTCTGGAGATGATCAGAAAATGGTTTATTAACACATGGCAATGCACWCATTACAAAGAAGAAAAGAAATTCTGCTGGTAATATTCATGGGTATTGCCAGTGCTKTACAACAGTCACCTAAAATAATATTTCTAGGGTCATTAATTTGAATTACTTTGGACAAAATAATGCACTACACCATTTACAGTTCATCACTATAACTTTACAAGAGAACTGCACAAGCCATAATCCAATCAACAAATTTATAGACTTGTTTTTTCACATTGGAAGCAAACTAACTATGAACATGAAATGTTTTCTAATTTTAGTTTCTCTACTGCAGGCAAATGAAACAAACTGCTGAGAAGGTAATGAAAACAGATTACTTAATGGTGAAAWATCTGAGTGCCATTCTTTTTCTACCAGTGGTGCCACTGCTGGAATTTAATGGAGTGGCACCAGCATGTCTGAATGAAGATTTTGATCCTAGCTGTTTAAAAATAGGGTTGAATCTAATAAGATTTCCTCAGTATTGATAACATTTTTTTTCTTTCCCTACACTGAAGGCAGGAAGATAGCGGAACTCATTATYGACATGAAGAAAGAGGAATTTCATCCCAGTTTCAAACTTCCTGGTCTAGTTCCACTTACACTTCATGATAGTCTCTAGGATTTTGTTAGAGTGTTAGGGAGATAATTCRTTTCAGWTRTTCTTATCTTCATGTTGTGTCAAAYAAATTAAACWTCCTAGCTTTTTCAGAAGCTTAGGGGAGGAAAATTCAGCCCAGCAATAAGGATAATGTATTTAAAAAGACCAGGGATCATTGAAACATTTTTTTTGCGTGTGAAAATCATCTCTCTCCTACCCTTTATAAAAGCCCAGGTAAGTTCAAGAAGTATTCCAGGAGAAAAAAAAAAAAAAAAAAAAGAAGAGCAACAGACACATGATGGAAAAGGCAGATGGAGCTGCATCAGGTTTTACATCAATTACAGTAAGTTCTTGGATTTAGTGCAGGATCTTTCTTAGTTTATGTCCTTCAATTTCTGCATGTATTTGGCAATGCAGAAGTTGTTTGTTACACCTGCCATGACAGCTTGGCCTATTAGGATGCAGTGAGAATTAGGCTGAGAGTAAAGACAAAAGCTTGATGTTCCAATGGGTTCAAATTACTGTGCAAAATAGAAAAGCAGTAGCAGAATAACTGCAGAAGAAGGTCTGGTGCACTGTCTTTTGAATTTAGATTACTAATGACAAGTTATTATTAGTGCC